ACACATAATTGGAACACAGTGTTGGGCCCAGGCAGCCTCAATTTTCTTACTGCGGTCGACCGGTATGGATCCTTCTGGACGTCGCATCGCTAAATCAGTCGAAGAATTCCAGAAGTTGCACGCAATCATGGAAGTCGGAAGTGACCCTGACCGGCAAATGGTCTGGCCTATGTTCATCATCGGCTGCGAGTTGAAGTCGCAGGAAGACAGAAGAGCTGCGCTTGCGAGAATGGATAAGTTATTTATCGCCACGCATTGTGGCAGCTGGCGCATGCTGAAGGACGTGTTGCAAGAGATTTGGACGAAGAATTGTTCTTGGGAGGAAGTTCTCTCGAGCAAAGAATGGGAAATTTTTGATTTCCTGGCTCTGTAGTCTAAATTCATCTTGATTTTTTTTGGATTGGTATATACATAATTTTGGCTCTTTCATACATATAGTGCATTTTGGGTTATTTATTCTTTCTGCATAGTACACAAAGGATCTCGGAGGTCAATTTTTCTTAAAGTTTCGGTCGAGATATATGTAAGACTACGAATACCACATGTAAACTCCATCTTGTTATTGGATATACACTGCGTGCTTTTGCACTATCTAGGTTAAAAGTTAATGGAAGCATATATGATCATAACAAGATGCAGTTACATCTGTAAATAGTTGATATGTAAGTAATAAATGAGCTTTGTTATAAGTTATAGAAATAACGTGCGTGCGGCCATGTTACAGCAGAATAGTTCGCGGATAAAATTAATGCCACAAAGAGCTCATTCAGATTATTGCAAAACGTCGTGCACCATATAGAGATATCGATCGAAATTTAGGTGTTTTATGTTGGTAACTCGAGGAGAGTAGAATATTGGACGTCTCCGGGCGGGACGCGTTTAAACTGAAACGCGGCGGCGTGTTTGGCACACGTGAACGCGTTCGTCGTCGTGTGCCTACAATTTACGTCACGCTTGTGCAGGTCTGCCCAACCTCATGACTGCGAGACCAGACATCAAATTCGTCATACTCCAGTTCGTTATACCCTCTGCTGACAGCAACTGCTATTGTGTTATATGTTTCGCTGAGTATCGGGATTTATCAGGTACGCCGCTCGCCGTCGACTGAAGTCCTTGGCAAGTACCTTCAATTGTGTGTTTTCCAGGCCACGGGCACCAGCCCTTACGCACCGCAACGCATATAACGCGTTTTCGGTATATCCGTTGGAAGAGCGCCTGGCGCGTCAGATCATTTACAACTACCCGAGTATTAAATAATCCAAGGTTACTGATATTCCGAGCGTCGAGAGTGGGATTCATGGCTCCTGTACAGCCTTCGCAGCAGACGTTGACGTTGGTATCCTATTTCTCATTCAGGTGTTTACAGTGATCGCAAGTACTTAGCGCTGATAAATATAGACGCTTTTTTGCGCGTCCGGCTGGGTCGAAGTCCAAATGCCAAACAACTTTGATGATATCTAATGATAACCCAACAACATCAACGCGCCATGAGAATAGAAGAGATGAGAATGACGGCGATGATATGAAAATTTACAAGAATGAGGTTTCTTCTACACCGGATTCGGTCGGAAAGGAGAACGGTTTGAGTTCGTCCCCGGGACAGAAAGCCGTTAATGGCTCGCCGCCGTCGTCGCCGATTTCGAGATCGGGTGGAAATCAGGACGAGAAGGGGACGAAGAGAAGGAAGCGTAGGGGCAGTCGGATTGGGGGTGGTAGTGAATCGGAGAGCGGTGGTTTGCCGAAGAAGAACCGTGGGAACACTGGTAGTGGTGTGGAAAGCAAGGCTCTCTCGGAGCAGAATAATGATGAAGTAGCATTGGAGATGAATCGTGACGAAGCTACTAAGGCGGAAGTATCTTCGTCTGGAGAATCTGTTGAGGCCGAGGCTAGTGAAGAAGAGCCTGCACTCCGCGAAGACGAAATCAAAGAGGAATTGTAAGTCCTATTCACTCTCACGGGCTACGATATGCTAACGCGATGCACAGGCCTCTTGCTAAGAACGAATTCTCCAAAGAATTGAAATGGCCGCCAAATTCACCTGTGCCTTACGCTGCTTTATGCGCCACATTTGAGAAAATTGAAGCGACAACCAAGCGTCTTGAAATTATATCCTACTGCGCTGCTTTTTTCCAGGAAGTACTGACCCTCACTCCCAGTTCACTCCTCCAAGTCGTGTATTTGTTTATCAATCGCCTATCCCCAGACTACGAGGGCATCGAAATTGGTCTCGGAGAATCTATTTTGATGAAAGCGATTGGGGAATGCACTGGCCGATCTCAAGCTCAAATCAAAGCCGACTATCAAAAAACCGGAGACCTGGGCACAGTCGCGCAAAACTCACGAATGAACCAACCGACAATGTTTAAACCGAAGCCACTCACCGTCGATGGTGTCTTCAAGAATCTCAAAGAAATTGCGATGATTACGGGATCACAGAGCCAGTCTCGGAAGGTCGGTATAATCAATAAGATGTTGTCGGCGTGTCAGGGAAATGAAGCGAAGTACCTCGTGCGTAGCTTGGAGGGGAAGTTGAGGATACATTTGGCAGAGAAGACTGTGCTCAGTAGTTTAGCGCAGGCCGTTGTCGCGTGGGAAGCACAAAAGAAGGGTAAATTGCCCAGTCCAACGAATGTGGTCAGCGCTGAAGCGATTTTGCGAGCTGTTTACAGGTAAGGTCATAATAGCATGTAGAACAGTGACGAACATGTGTTGACGAAGCTAGTGAAATGCCGACATATGACATGATTATCCCTTCAATCGTGAAGAATGGTATCATGAAATTGCGCGAAAGCTGCGCATTGACACCGGGCGTCCCACTCAAGCCTATGCTAGCCAAACCGACGAAGTCAATCACTGAAGTTCTTGATCGATTCCAAGAGCAGAAATATACTTGCGAATACAAATATGATGGCGAGCGAGCCCAGATTCATTATCTCGGGAACGGCAATTCCCACGTGTATTCCCGGAATTCGGAAGACATGTCTGCCAAGTATCCCGACATTGTGTCGGCGATCGGGAGATTTATAAAACCTGAGACGAAGAGCTTTGTTTTAGATTGCGAAGCTGTGGCATGGGATAGAGACGCTAAGAAGATTTTGCCCTTCCAAGTACTATCCACGCGAAAGCGAAAGGATGTTCAGGAAGGCGATATCAAAGTTCGAGTTTGTATTTTTGCGTTTGATATGCTTTATGCGAACGGAAAGGTATGTAAAATGGATGCGTTGCAAGTAACGAGACTGACTGATCACGTTCAGAGTTTACTACAAACACCACTCTCTGAGCGACGCAAACTTCTTCACGAGTCCTTCAACGAAGTCGAAGGCGAATTTACATTCGCAAAGTATATGGATGGCATAAACGTTGATGAGATCCAAGAATTCTTAGACCAAAGCGTCAAAGACAGCTGTGAGGGGCTGATGATTAAGATGCTAGATGGCGACGAAAGTGGATATGAGCCAAGCAAGAGAAGTCGAAATTGGTTGAAACTTAAGAAGGACTATCTCACCGGAGTGGGCGATTCGCTGGATTTGGTAGTTATTGGAGCATTTTACGGACGTGGGAAGCGGACAAATTGGTACGGCGCTTTTTTGCTCGCGTGCTATAATCCGGATTCTCAAGGTCGGTGAAATCAAAAATAATTTGATTATGGGAGGATGATGATTGACTTTATTAGAATACGAGACCATATGCAAGATTGGCACAGGATTTTCCGAAGAGATGCTAGATACGCTGTACCAGAAGCTATCCGAAACAACTACTGCTCAGCCGCGGTCCTATTACTCCTACACCCAATCGAATGCCAACGCACCGGATGTGTGGTTTGAACCTACTATGGTGTGGGAGGTCCTCGCCGCCGATCTGTCGCTATCGCCAGTCTATCGTGCCGCTATTGACGAAATTGGCAGGAACAAAGGTGTTTCGCTGCGGTTTCCACGGTTCATCCGTATCAGAGACGATAAGAGCCCAGAACAGGCTACCACATCGGAGCAGGTGTGTGAGTTTTATCAGAGACAGGCCTCTGCCGCAGGAAATAATGGTGGTGATGACTTTGGCGAGGATGATTATTAGAAAATAATGGATGCGTATGCATGTAGGCGTGTTTCCTTGTTTACGTTTGTAGATATGTACTATAGTAATGTGTCCTAGGATGCATTATATCCCATAGGTATCGTTGCCATGTTCTAAATGCACAATAGCCCGAAATATGGTCGCTGTAGATGGACGCAGGCAGCTTACACGTCTCGTAAATTGGGATATTTAAACCGCACCCGTGCAAGTCATTCGAGAATCCTACACTTTCGGTAAAAATTTGGAGTGGCTTTGTCATAATCGGAGCGAACTCGATAGCCCAACGCTTTGGCATACTGCTCGAGAAAAGTTAATACATGTAGACGCAGCAGCCAGGGGGAAGGCATAGCATTTGGCGAACCTTGTCCGGCGCTGACACAAAGTTAACTTCCAATACCATCGTTAATTATTCCATGCCCAGTATATGCCTTAAACCTTTGCCAAAGTACCATGTCCATGCCAAAATATTCAATTGGGCAACGCCGCTAATCACACGCGTCGGCCACGCGTTTGCATGCTGAGGCAAGAAAGAAAGGACATTCGCGTTGCGCTCAGTCCCACCACTTTTAACCCTGTCGCATTCCAAAACGACTTTCGATATTCAACGACTCTATATCTAAATTATATCGCAATGGCTCGTTTCCAAAGCAATACCAATAACTCCGACAACTTCCACCAGACATTCGTGGATACTAGTTCCTACAGCACGATTCGGGGCCCTCGCCGTCGCTATCAGCAATTACTTCCGACAAATCAACTGATGTTTGGCGCACTGGAGACAACAACAGGGCAACACTTATCTGAGGATCAGCGACCATTCGAACCCGTCAGCCAGTGAACATTAATGCATATTAAAACCAACATGTACCCGAGTCACGTGCGTTGACGGATGGCCCTAAACACGGAAGTTTTGTCTAGAGAAATCGTAGAAGGCTCTAGTGGCGCAGAGGTTAGCGCATCGGTTAGTTTAACCCCTTCTACTGAGATAGAGTTTGTTGATTTTTGGGCTAACAAAGTTGTTAGTGCTTATAGCTGTATTACGGCATCTATACTTGATGTCACGGTCGTGTGAGGAACGCGACGGTCGTGGGTTCAATCCCCACCTAGAGCACATTTTTTTTTTTTGCACCGGTCTTCGTTTTTTATTCCAACTTGCTTCCTTTCACTGGCTTAGCTGAATCCGGACAAGGATATTTTCCTTTTGTTTTCCTTGTTACCTTGCCAGATAATGTATACATTGAAGTAATAGACTGGCATTGCAGTTTTGCATTTCGGGTTATTTTAGTTTAGTCGAATTGCCAATTGATAAGACGAGACCCATACTCACGTACTACTTTTTTTGTACAAATAATGGTAGCGGACTTAAATATTTTCAGCATTTATTTACTTTGGCCTATGGGTGGACACGAATGACGAATATATTCGCATTCGTACGAATATTCGCAATTCGAATGCGAATATTTGGATGTTTCATGCTTACGAATGCGAATGTGAATAAAAAAAAATTATTCGCAAGTATTCGCAATATTCGCACATATAAAACATAATAGTTAATTAAAAAAACTTCCTCGTTGGCGTACATACACCTTAACAATAATCGAAGAAATACATTAAAAAAGCCTTCCTCGTTGCAACATATCCCTCAACCAATGAAGCTTCTTCGCACATATGAAATATAATAATTTAAAGAAATACATTAAAAACCTTCCTCGTTGCCGTACATATCCCTTAACAAAACAAGCTTCCTCATGGTGTCTGCACTTAGAGAGTGTCTGCTTAGGCCAGCAAATCCCTTCCGCTGTTGAACAGCCTCTCAACTGCAACCATTCGCATTCGCAGCCGACATTTTATTCGTTGCGAATAAAACTTTATACTGCGAATTGCGAATGCGAATGCGAAATAGAGAAAATTGTATTCGTGTCCAGCCCTACTTTGGCCTAAGCAGGTCCACCCTATCAGCTGCCGTGATGAAATGTGGTTTTCTTAAGGTAGGGTACTTGGAGCTTAAGTGGTAACTGATATTGAGCAGATGGAATTTCTTCGTCGAATTCTTCAGCATAAACCATCAGGGGCAGATCGGACTACCTGACAACATATAGGTCGCTGCTGTACCATAAAGCTCTGCGCAACTAACAAATTAGTGAAAGCGCTAGTTTTGACAGGTTCCACTTAATTTTTAAGTCGTTGCAATGTGACGGATATATCAGCTAAAATCTAAGCACGGTCGAGAAGTTTATTTTTTTTGGCAGGGGCGATGGCGGGGCGGCGGGGACTCCGCATCGACGACGTCACGGACAACAACTTACCGGGCCGCCCTTTTGCGTTTATACACAAACGTAAAACGTTTGTCAAAGGGAAACCTTGTTACTCGTATATTCTGATTCATGATTCATCTTAATTCCTACTGAACTGTTCGCATTTTGCTCAGTGAACTGAACTGGCTGGAAGTTGACCTGGTCAGCATTCGGACTGATCCGCTGCTGAGGCGTAGAGTTATCCGGAGTCGCCTGCCGTCGACTTTATCAAATACAAGGAACAACTAACTGCTGGTATTTTGGCTGGGCCGTGCGCGCTTGTCCGACGCTCCCAGGCCACAATCTCTGTTTTTCTCTTGGATCTTCGGTTTATATTATACGGCTTAGCTGTTGCCCATCTACTTTGATATACTGTCTTCCCTTGACCTCGACTCGCTCCTGTTCTTTCCTACTATTTTGTCGTTATTTATACGTCGTCTCATTTCGCAGTCTTCATCTCGGAGCATTTATTTTTGAATAGTGGTCCCTGGTCCTTGTACAATATTGTGCTCTTTCATCGATGGGGACGGAAGCTACACCGCGCCTGTCTCGTTCATTTCATCCGAGCCATGGTAGCTCAAAGTCATCACTGCATCTGACGACTCGTCCGTCAACGCCAAGTCGTCTCTCTGTAGACGAATCGAGCCTCAGCCAAGCTCAAGTGGGAAAAAAAAGTCGGCGGCGAGCTACAGTCGTCTTACTCTCGTGCTTTATTTTCATGCTGTGCTTGGTCCAGTATATGATCTTGCGCGTTGATGATCTGGCAGTCAAAAGTGTTAGTCTCTATGAGAACGGCATTACTGGCATATCAGTCAGTGCCATCAAGAGCACAGGTTTAACCAATGCAGTCCAATGGTGCGTATTAATCAGTAGCTCGGTATTTGATATAAAATAACAATACGGTATAGGGATAAAAATTCCATGATTATTCGACACAGGCCCGTGTTCATTATCAGCGGCGAATTCCACTACTGGTACATCCTGGCCATTTTGCATGTCTGCTTCAAATTCTAATCTGAATATAGGCGCATACCAGTACAGCATCTATTTCTGGACATATTCCAGAAGATGCGCGCTACAGGCCACAACGCAGTCTCGATATATTTCCACTGGGGATTTCACTCCGTCACAGAAGACAAGATAATATTCCATGGCGTCGGACGCGACATTCAAGCCATGCTAGACGCCGCAAAGCTAGCTGGTCTCTATGTCATAGCGCGACCTGGGCCGTACATTCACGCGGAAACGTCGGCGGGTGGTATTCCAAGCTGGCTAGTGACAAAGAAAGGCATTGAGGTGCGCACCGACGAGCAAACGTATTCAAAAGCTTGGCAGAACTATTGGAGCGAGATAATCCCAATCATCGCGCGAAATCAAATTGATAGAGGTGGAACTGTTATCGCGCTTCAGATTGAGAACGAGTACATGGAGTCGGACATATATCCCTCTGCGAGAAAGTACATGCGGGATCTCTCTGATGGAGCCAGAAAATGGGGAATCGTTGTTCCGATTGTGAGCATTCTTTAATTTATTTGTTGGTATGTAATTAACTGGCCGCAGTTTCATAATGACTTGAATATGTTCAAATCATTTACCCCGAAGAATTTTTCTGCTGTCGACTTGTATGGACTTGATTCATATCCCAGAGTAAGTGATCGACCTTTGCACGCAATATTTGCTGCCGCTAATCTTAGTTCTAGGGATTTGATTGTCGCGATCCAATGTCGAACTTCTATATCCAGACTAATTATCGTGAATATCTAGCCAACGTTTCTGCGGACACGCCTAATTTTACTCCGGAATTTCAAGGCGGTGCTTACGATTGTAAGTTCTTCTGCTTTTATTGATCAGAATATATTATTAATGGAAGGTAGCATGGGGAGGCGCTGGGTACGACAATTGCATGGAAATGACCGGCCCAGAATTTGCGAACGTTTTCTACAAGAATAATATCGCCCAAAAGTTTACAGTCATGTCGCACTACATGACATATGGCGGCACGAACTGGGGAGGTCTAGCCAGTCCGTCAGTTTATACTTCGTATGACTATGGTGCTGCCATCAGTGAATCCAGAATCGTCAGAGACAAGGCCAAGTGCGTGTTCTACTCAATTTTATATTTTTTGTCTAATAAATGCTCCAGTGAGGCGAAATTACTGTGGACCTTCGTCAAGAGTTCTCCAACGCTTCTCAATGCGGACTTCATTGCCGACAGCGACACGTACGCGTACACAGATAGCAACGACGTCTTTGCGACAGAGCTCCGCGATCCGCACTCTCTAACGGGATACTATATTGTTCGTTCACGAGACACAAATTCAAGGTATGGCAAGGCATATCGACTCAACGTCCGCACGCTATCTGAAGGCGAGATTCAAATTCCATCCAAAGGCTCACTGACTCTACGATCACGCGAATCCCGAATCATTGTCACAGACTACGAGGCAGGGCCACTACGATTCGGATACTCGACTATGGAATTCTTCACCTGGACGATTGTCGACGAAAAACCTATTTTGGTCATGTACGGCAACTTTGAAGACCTGAACGAGTTCTGTATCAAACAGCATGGTGATGTGCCGTTCAAGTTCTACAATATCAGAGGTAATGTCGCGTCCCTCAATTATCGTGTCACGTCAGCTGCTACGGAAACAAATGATTTGCGCGTTACTTCTATTCTGGACGGGGAAAGCAGGGCTGTTGTTGAGTCGCATGATTATATTTTGGTGTTGTTCAATCGCCCGGATATTTACAATGTGTGGGCACCAGCATTGGCGGCTGACCTTGATCCAAATACACTGCCCAATAGACAAGTTATTGTTATTGGCCCGTATCTTGTCCGGAACGTGACGTCAGAGGATCATGGCAAAACATTGAATATATACGGTGATATTGATATGGAAAGTAATGTCGGCGACGTTGTGGAACTCTACGTGGACTCGTCATTCGAGAATATCAAGTGGAACGGCCAGCGCGTGCATGCCCAACATACGAAATTCATGTCGCGCACATTCAGAGTTCCAAAACCAAACAACGATCTTGCAAAAGTTAGAATCCCAGATCTGAGAAAGGCCGAATGGCGTGGCATTGATGCTATTCCAGAGGTCCACAAGAAGTACGACGACTCAAAATGGACTGTTGCCAACAAGCTGAAATCGACGAACAAGTGGTACCCGCCTGAGACTTTCCCGGTTCTATACCCCGGCGAGTACGGGTTCCATGTCGGCACTGTGATTTACCGTGGACGGTTTTCTGGGGTTAATGCGCAAGGGGTGAAGATGCAAATCTGGGGCGGTGTTGCGTATGGGTTTACGGCATGGTTGAATGGAGAGTATTTGACGTCTTACCGTGGCTCACCTCACAAGAGTTGGATTCAGCAGAAAGTTATATTTCCAGAGACGCTGCTCTCAAAAGAGGAGGAGAACGTTCTCGTGATATTGGCAGATCGGATGGGATACGAACAAGACAATGGGGTCACAGAGCGCGATCCGCACTCGACATTGTATCCACGTGGAATTCGTCTTATTCAATTAATTCCAGATAAGCCAGATGCCAAATGCGAGTTCTCACAGTGGACATTGCAAGGTAACGCAGGCGGGGAAAGCTACGATGATTTATTACGAGCACCATATAATGAAGGTGGCATATACGCGCAACGCATCGGTGCACACTTACCGAAATTTGACGACACATCGTGGCCGTCTGCCACTCCATACTTAAACCAGTTAGCCGGTATGCGCCCACAATCTCCCAAACCAGGTGCGGGAGTGTGGTTTTATAGGACAGTCGTGCAAATTGCCGTCCCCGACAATCTTGAT